AGGGTGGCGGCTCCGTGAGCCCCCGTGCCGTTGTAGGTGCTGTGCCGCTCGGGGCGGAGAAGCTGGCCCGGTGTCTGGAGCTGCTGGAGAGGGTCACTGGGGGCGCGGCCGCCCGCGGCGCTGGCGGCGGCTTCGGTCCCCAGGGAGGGCCCTCGGGAGCCCTGCGGCCCTCCCGATGTGCGATGTGCAAGCGACGGTGGACAGGGCGGCCCGCCAGGCGTCGGCCCGTCTGGCTGCCGAAGTGCCGTGGCCGCCGCTGCCTCAGCCCATCGGCGTTCTGCTGCAGGTGGTCCGGGCTTGCGCCGCCGCTGAGGAGAGCAATTGTCAGGGGGGCGCTCCCGACTGGGAGACCCAGGGCCCCGTCAGCATCGACGAGCGCGCCGGCATCGGCCGCTGGGGGGCGCTCGGTTGCATGCGTTTCGAGGTCTTTCCATGGGGCGTGAGGGGCAGCGTGCTGCACGGGTCTTTTGGTGGCGTGGAGGTGGCCACCATGTACGAGGTTTCTTGTTGGGATTCTCACGCTGAGCGCGAGGCCCTGGGAGCCTGGAGGCCGATGTGAGCTCCAGCGGCTATTGCGATGGTTTCGAGCTCGGCGGTGACGACGATGGCGGCGACTCTTGTATTCGAATTTGTCCTGCGAGCACCGCTTCCGTTCGGTCGAGTGCTGGCTTCCTGCTGGCGTCTCGAGCTTGGATTGTGTCCGGAGGCGCCTTTCATGGCGGTCGAGTTGCGGAGAGTGAGAATCCCGTAGCAGCTTCGTTCGGGGGCTGCCGCAGTGATTGACGCGTCCTGCCATTTTCCGTTCGGTGCGTGTTGTGCGGAGGGCTGGGGTGGCTTCCTGCATTCGAATGCGCTCTGCAGTTTGCGCCCCCGCCAGTGTGGATGAGTGTGGGCCGCCTGTGTGCGAAGGGCGGGCAGGGCGCGGTTTGTTGTTCCAGCCTCCTGTCGTGCTTTCTGTGTGCAGTTGTGCCCTTCGCCTGTCGGGGGGGGGGGGTCGTCGCGCCGTTCGGCGACCCCATGTGTTTCGCTCCGAGTGCCCATCCGTGGCTGAGTTCGAGCGCGTAGACCAGGCGTGGGCTCGGGGTGCAGCGGGCATCGGCCCCGTTGGCGAAGCCTGGCGGCGATCGCCCCTCTCCCGCCGCTCCTCGGCGTGGTTCCCCCTTCGGACCAGCGCGGAAGACCGGCGTGGCAGACGGGCGCGGCAGACCAGCGCGGCGAATTTCCACGGCGCGCCAACGCGGCATGCCAACGCGGCAGACAATCTCGGCAGACCAGCACGATTCGTGCCAGCACGGCAGACCAGCACGAGACATACCAGCGCGACAGACCAGCGCGGCCGTCCAGCGCGGCCGTTCAGCGCGGCAAACCAGCGCGGCAGACCAGCGCGGCAGACCAGCAAGGCAGACCAGCGTGGCAGACCAGCAATTCAGGCCACAGCCCTTCAGACCAGCACGGTGTTTTAGCGTGGTAGACCAGCGCGGCAAACCAGCGCGGCAGACCAGCGCGGCCTGGTGCTGGGGCGTCCGCGCCTAACCCCAGCGACCTCGGCGCGGTGGTTCGCCAGTGGGTCTAAGCGGCGGGGGCGCGCTGATCGGCTTCTGCGAGCGAGTCCGTCGGCCGCGCTGACGCTCCGCGGCTTATCCCCGAGCCCATGGGCGCCTTGGTCAAGAGAGGGTGCCAAATCAGCCGCTCGAGCCAGACGCGCTGCATTCGCGTGGCCCTGGGCCTGGCGCTGCAGCGGCTCACGGCGCAGAGGGCGGAGCGATGGCAGGCGCCCCGCCGGGGGTCGTGCGAGAAGGGGGCATCGCGCTGCGCCGGGCTCCTGTCTGTCGCCATCGGCATAGACACCAGCGACTGGGAGGACCTCATCTCCCATGCGGTTGTCAATGCGTATGCTGGGGCCATCAGTGCGCTGCAGCGGCGGCTCTGCGCAACTATGGAGGCCCGCGGTGGAGGGGCTCGACGTCGACTGCAGCTCCGCTATGCCGCGCCTGCAGCGTGCGAGAGCCTGCGCCGCGGCCGCCAACGGGCCGAACGCCCACCTGTGGGCGAGAGCCAGCGTGACCTTTGAGCAGGAGGCCCTCGAAGTGAACCAAGTGCCAGTGTCCTGGTCGGGAAGCCGACAGAGGCCCGGCGGCGCGGCAACGAGCGCGCCGACGAGCTGGCCAAGGCAGGGGCTCGGTTAGCGAGCGCCGCGCCCGCTCGGAGGTGGTCCGCGAGCTGGCGAGGTTGATGGGCCAGGCCTTGTAGTCGTTTTGTAGGGCGCCGAGGGCTTACTTGAGGGGGGCGAGGCACCGCGCCCGGCCGGGGGGCCCAATCGCCACGCAGAAGGCCGAGCGCAGGCGGTTAGAGGGGGTCCGCTCGGTGGCGGCGGCCAGCGGCGTGGCCGTGAGCGCGGCGGCTCTCGTCGTCCACGGCGCGCGCGCGCAGCCGCGCGCGCGCAGGCAGGCGCGCGCGCATGCGCATGCGCACACACACACACACGCGCGCGCACTTTTGAGTCGGCGGCGTAGATTTTGGTGCACGCACGCGCACATGCGCACGCGGCGCTCGGGCGCGCACGCACGCGTGCGCGAGCACGCGAACACGCGCACGCACGCGCACGTGCACGCGCACACGCGCACGCACGATCACACGCATACGCACGCGCACGCGCACGCGCACACGCACACGCGCTCGCGCACGCACACGCGCACGTTCGCGCACGCGCGCGCGCACACGGGCACGCACGCGCGCACGCGCACGCACACGCACGCGCACACGCAGACGCACGCGCACGCGCACACGCGCCCGCACACGCACACGCACGCGCACGCGCGCACGCACGCGCACATACACCCGCACCCGCACCCGCCCCCGCGCCCTCGCACACGCACGCACACGCACGCGCACGCGTTCACGCACACGCACATGCACGCGCACGCGCACACGCACACGCACACGCATGCGCACATGCACACGCACGCGCACACGCACCCGCCCCCGCACGCGCACTCGCACACGCACGCGCACATGCGCACGCGCATGCGCACACGCACACGCGCACGCACACGCACACTCACACGCACCCGCACACGCACCCGCGCCCGCGCCCGCGCCCGCGCACGCACGCGCACGCGCACGCGTCCACGCACACGCACACGCACGCGCACGCGCACACGCACACGCACACGCACACACACGCGCACACTCACGCGCACACGCACCCGCACCCGCACCCGCACGCGCACTCGCACACGCACGCGCACGCGCACGTGCACGCGCACGCGCACACGCACACGCGCGCACACGCGCACGCACACGCACACGTATACGCACGCGCACACGCATGCGCGCGCACGCACACGCATGCGCGCGCACACGCACAAGCACGCGCCCGCGTTCGCGCGCACGCGCGCGCGCGCACGCACGCGCACAAGCACGCGCACAAGTACACGCACACGCACGCGCACACGCACACGCACACGCACGCGCATACGCGTGCGCGCACGCGCACGCGCACGCGCGCACGCGCGCGGACGCGCGCACGCGCGCGCGCACGCACGCGCACGCGCACGCACACGCACACGCACGCGCACGCGCCCGCGCACACGCTGGCGCGCACGCGCGCGCACACGCAGAAGCACCCGCATTTGCACCCGCACCCGCACCCGCGCCCGCGCCCGCGCCCGCGCTCGCGCCCGCGCCCGCACCCGCAGACGCGCCCGCGCACCCGCGCGCGCAAACGCGCGCGCACGCGCGCACGCACACGCACGCGCACGCGCGCACGCACGCGCACACGCGCACGGACGCGCGCACGCGCACGCGCACGCACGCGCGCGCACGCACACGCACACGCACGCGCACGCGCCCGCGCACACGCTGGCGCGCACGCACGCGGACACGCACGCGCGCACGCACACGCACGCGCGCGCACACGCACGCGCGCACGCACACGCACACGCGCACGCACACGCACACGCACTCGCACACGCACACGCACGCGCACACGCACGCGCGCACCCGCACCCGCGCCCGCGCCCGCGCCCGCGCTGGCGCCCGCACCCGCACCCGCAGACGCGCCCGCGCACCCGCACGCGCAAACGCGCGCGCACACGCACACGCACACGCACATGGACACGCACACGCACACGCACACGCGCTCTCACACGCACACGCACACGCACACGCACGCGCGCACGCACACGCACAGGCACACGCACACGCACAAGCACACGCGCACGCACACGCACACGCGCACGCACACGCACACGCACATGCACACGCACACGCACGCGCACACGCACACGCACACGCGCACGCACACGCCGACGCACGCGCACGCGCACACGCACCCCCACCCGCGCCCGCACCAGCACCCGCGCCCGCACCCGCACCCGCACCGGCGCGCGCACGCGCACGCGCACGCGCACGCGCACACGCACACGCACACGCACACGCACACGCAATCGCACACACGTGCACAGGCCACGCGCAACACTTGATCAAAGCATCCGCAGGCAACCACCAAGCGCAAGCTATTCAAGCCAACCATCTAGGCATTCGAGATCCTCCATGTGTAACCCATGTCGCGTTGCGTGCCAGTCCGTGCCTCCGCGCACGCAAACTCAGAGTCGGCGCTCCCCGTTCTTGTCTGGATTGGTTCGTAGTTTTCGGTGTCCAGGCCGTTTCGAGGCTCCAGTGTGTTCAAAGAACGATTCCGAATAAAAAGCTGGCCCTGGCAAGAGATTGGAAGGTCGGAGGGTAATCGTTCAAAAACTGACGGCATCAGACGTCCTTGATTCTGAGTAACCGAGGCGGAGGTCGGAATTTGGGCGGCGCCTCTCATTGCTGGTCTCTGTGTGTGACGACCAACGATCACGACCACGCGCATGTCTGCGTCTGCGCGTGAGGCTAAGGTATCTGCCTCTTTCTCTTCGTTTTGCATCCGTATCCTCTCGCATCATCACAGTTTTAACTGATTATGGTGAATGTCAAGCATAACCGTCGGTCATTCGCAGGAGACTCGCGCGGCGATGTCTGACTTTGACCGCTTCAAGCTGATGGTTGCTAAGAAGAAGAGGGCGGCTGTGGTCAAGAGTGCGCCACGCCCCTTACCTTCAACCTGCGTCTGTACTGCCTTGCCTGCCTTCGCTTTCATGCGTTCTCCGTTTGCCATCCAACCCTGAAGCAGGAGGTGTGGCGATTCTCTCCTCATGAGACAAGGACCTGCAAGGATCCTAGGCTCGCCTGGACATAACAACTTTGTCATTTTTTTGCACCATTTCTAAGTAACTGTTGCACCTGTCGTCTTGAGTGCAGTTGCCTGCCTGCCTGCTTGATTGTCTGGGGTCGCGCCAGCCTTGCGTGCACAGCCGACTGCTTTCGTGCCTGTGTGCCTGAATCTGATCTACCGCGCATCCTTGCATTCCGCCCACTTACTGTCATTTCTGCTTGCTTTTTCGCTTGCTTGCGTATTTTCGTGCAGTTTCGCGGGTATGTCTTCAGCAGTAGAGGTTGGGCGAGTTGACGCAGCGCAGCTTCATGCGGTGCTAAGCGCAGCTTCATTCGGCGATATGGTGAATCCGACGCAAACGCGCATGCATGAAGTCCAGAGAGCGGCACAAACAAACACATCCGGAGGTCCAGTCGGATTTCTTGGGTGGGCGTTGGTGCCTTCCCCACACCCCTCTCCCGGCGCTCGGAGCGCATCAGGCGCGGCGTCTCAGACCTCCGACAGTCCATGCTTGTGCCCGTCAACGAAGCCAGGGCATTGCTTAGTAGTGGGCAGACCGTTTAGGATACATTCGCAGAGGTACAGGCACGGGCTCAGTCAGGCTCAGGCACGGAGATGGGCGCAGGCAGCGTCCGCTCTCCCCTTCCTCCTGAGCACTCCTCGGAGGGTTGTTCTCCCCCGCCGCCAGGTGTCCCCCTCAATAGCCAGCCAGGCCAGGTCGGCCTATTTTCAGAGGAAGGGCCTTTGCCGCTTCGCGAAATGCCGCGCTGGAGGGCCGAGGGCTCCAGTCCTGTGCAAGCAGAACAGTTCCCAGGGTCGAGGCCTCGAAACGCAGCAGCACGTACCTCCCCTCAGGCAGCGTGTCCAGTGGAGACCAGAGACCAACAGAATCCAGTGGCCGAGCTCCTGTGGCGGGGATCCGCGGATTCCCCCTCTCCTGCGGGGCCGCGCGTCGCCTTTCCCCCCTCGCCTGGCTTCGGGTGCCGCCGCCAGAAGCGCTGAAGAAGAAGTGAGCGCGGAGGCCGCCGCAGACTTCTGGGGCCCGGGCGATGACCGGCGGCTCGCCGAAGGAGGCAGTGCAAGGGAGGGAAGGGATAGGCGGCGAATTCCGAACCCTGCCCTCGCCGATCAGGGCGGGGGTAGGGTTCGGAATTCGGCGAACGCGTGGCGAAATCTGACGATGCTCCCGCCTCCCATCGATTCAGGAGAACCGATGGTGGGGGGGGCAGGGTTCGCACGTCGCTACCGCAGGGAAGCATCAGGGGCGGCGCGATCAACCCCTGGGGCGCCGATCCTCACCGTGACGACCCGCACCGCTTCGCCCCAAGACGCGGGCAGGCGGCCGGAGGGGAGCTTCGGGGGTGAGCGGCCCGTCGCGGAAGGGGCTCGCCGCGCAAGGGGCTGGGCAGGCCGCTCCCGAAGGGAGGAGGGAAGTCTTCTGGCCTTCTTCCTCTGGAGGCCTTCGGGGGCCTCCAGGGACTCCAGAGCAGGGCCAGGGAGGAGGGAGGACCGCCACGAATGAGAGGGGTCCTGGTGGACAGGGGCCCTGGAGGTCTGTCGCCGTGGACGTGCTCCTGGGGCCCTCACCTGAACGGTCAGAAGAAGGGACGGTGAAGAGCCCGTCCTGAGGAAGGCCCCATGGTCCAGGGCCCATTTCCGCCAGGGCCCGTTTTCATCAGGAGTCCCTGTTCCTTCGCGCAGTAGTTTGGTTTCTTTTTGGGGGGGGCGGGGATTTCGGCCTGAGCAGCCTTGCGGGGCCTGGGACTGTCGGTCGTGAGGGAAGGGTCGAGACCCCTCCTTGGTCCTTGGGTTCACGCTGCGAGAGAAAACACGTTGTAGGAGGTCTGGGGAGGAACGAGGAAGGCTTGACGCTTTTTCCTTTCCTCGTGGCCTTTTTCCTTATCTTCCTCCTTCCCTCGCGGCCATCTTCACTTTTCGAGCTGCGTCCAGTGTCCAGCCGTTGTCACGGTTGGACGCAGCTCGAAGAAGTTGCCAAGATGGACCTATCGAGGCGTCAAGGCTTTGGACGGGGGATCCTTTGGCAGGTCACGCCCCGATAAAGATGGGCAGGGCATGCCACGAGGACACTGAGGACAGGAGATTGCCAGAAAGGTGGGAAGCGAGAGGGGGAATGAAGGCCCTAGGAGGAGAAGAAGGAGGATGAGGAGGATGAGGAGGAGGAGGAGGAGGAGGAGGAGGAGGAGGAGGAGGAGGAGGAGGAGGAGGAGGAGGAGGGGGGAGGACAAGCCGATATTAGAATGATGGAAGCGTATCTATGAATGGAGTCTCACATGCAGTGCACCTTGCAAGCAACCAGGATTTGCTTGCCTCCCCTGTCTTGCTTGCTCAATGCTGGCCTACATGCGCAGGACTCGCCCTCTGAATAAGGGCTGTCGATAGCCCCTCTCTCCAGGGAAGCCGCTCAGGCTACGTTACCCTTCTCTCGTATCGCGGGTCGGGCCCCGAGGTTGTCGATGCAGCGTCGATGCAGCGTCCATGCATCGTCGATCGGCGATGTGGTGCGCTCCTCCGACCCCGTCTGCTCTAGCCCCATTTGGGAGGCCTCCACGTGGGCAGCTCAGCAGTATTCAACGTTCTGCTCATCGTCATGGTCATGCTCATAACTGCGTACCAGCACCACCACGGCCGACATCATAACAGTCATCACACTTTCCATCAACAGCATCACCGACATGATTACTAGCATCATCACTACTCGATTGCATGCTTGTCATAAAAACAATATTCGTAAATTTCGCAGAAAAGGGGTTTGTTTGTCTGGGATTCCTGACAAAACAGGCGCTTCGAAGCTGCATGCCTGCAGCTGCGGATCGCGCCCGAAGTTGCATGCGAGCAGTTCCCCGTATTTCGAACCATCTAGAACCAGTGCTGGCTCGTCGTCTACCGTACGGTAGGTGCAACCGCAATCGTTCTGTACGGGTTTCTGACGGGGATGGTGCACCCGCGCGCACCAGATGTATACGTCGTCCGGTCTGGTTCCCAAGGGACGATTCGTTTCCCTCTCTCTGACCTCAGGGGCGCGAATTCGATCGCACGTCTCGGTTCTCGCACCGTGATGTGGGGATTTCGCTGATCTAATTTCTTGCGGCTTCGGGGGTCCTGGGCGCGTTCGCAAGATGCGTCCCGCACTGCACTTTCAAGAGCCGGCGTCGCCAAAGGGCAGAGTAAGAGCCCCAGTGATTGTCGCAACAGGGGCGTGCAGGCTGCGAGTGGGTGTATTCAACGTTCTGCTCATCCCACGGTCATGGTCTGGGTCGTTGTCGTCGGTTGCAGCAGCATGTCGGTCTTCGTCGTTGCGTCATGTTCGGATGGGGCAGATCAAACAAGCCGACCGCATACCTCTCACTTGTTTGGGGGACCTCCGCAGGGGTCCACTCTCGCGAGACTCCACAAGAGTTTTCCCAAGGAGCCACCACGCTCAGAAGTCCTTCCCATGACCCCCCAGGAGTTCTCCCAAGGAGCCTTCCGAAGAGTCGGTCCAGGCACTTTTCCGAGAGTCCGTGCCATGAACCTCCCGCCGGAGTTCTTTTCAGGAACATCCCGGGGAATCTCCACAGTGGATCACGCAAGGAAGCCCCCCAAGGGCTTCCGCAGGACTCCGCCCCCCCCAGCCCAGCCAGCCCACCCCAGGAGCCCTCCGAGGAGCCCCCGCCCTGGTCAGCCTGTGCAGGAATCCCCGGCGGGAGGCACGAGACTTCCCTGGGAGCCCCTCAGCGAGACGCCCCGAGCAGAGTCGCCCAGGAGCCCCGCTCCCCGAAGAGTCTTCCCCAGGAGTCCACAGCAATTCTTGCTCAAGGCCGCCTGTGCGTTCGGACCCCCTCAGCAGCGAGCCAGCATGGCGGCGGAGCTCGAGGAGCCGAAGAAGCCGCAGAACGCCTACTGGATCTGGCTCAGCGAGAACCGCGACTCGCTGACGAAGGAGGCTGGCAGCGCGAGGGGGCCTGTCGTCGGCAAGCTCGCGGGCGAGAAGTGGAAGGCCATGTCGGCGGAGGCCAAGAAGCCCTTCGAGGAACGGGCGGCGGAGCTGAAGTCCACGTACGACAAGGCCATGGAAGAGTTCAAGAACGCTGGAGGCCAGGTGGGCAAGCGTCGCCTGGAGAAGAGCGAGGGGAAGCAGGCCAAAGCTGACAAGAAGGCGAAAAAGGACGCCCAGAGGTCTGAGGGGAAGCCGACGCGGCCGCCGTCCTCCTATTGGCTGTGGCTCGGCGAGAACCGCGAGGCGCTCGCGAAGGAGGCCGGCAGCACAAAGCCGCCCGTCGTCGCCAAGCTCGCCGGCGAGAAGTGGAAGGCCGTGTCGGAGGAGGACAAGAAGCCGTTCGAGGCGAAAGCCACGGAGCTGAGGGCCGCGTATGACAAGGCCGTGGAGGAGTGGAAAAGCAACGGTGGCGGCGAGGACGGCGCGAAGCAGGGCAGTCCGAGGAATCGCAAGGCGGACGCCGCCAAGACGCCGGCAGCGAAGCAGGGCACCTCCCGGAAGCGCAAGGCGGACAAGGCCGAGACGCCGCCTGCGAAGCTGCCCCGCGCGCCCAGGGAGCGCGACTCCAGCAAGAAGGCCCCCGTGGCCCAGGGCAAGAGCCGCGGCAAGGCTGCGCCAGCGATGGCGGCAGTTGTGCTGGAGAAGGACATCGCTGAGAAGGCCGAAAAGGCGGGCTTCACGAGCGTGCTCCAGAAGTTCCTTGCTTGCGAGGACGTGGTGGCCAGCGGCAAGAGCCAGGCCGAGGCCTTTCAGGCGCTCGAAGCGGTGGGCGGCCTGATGCACCCAGCCCGCCGCGCCTTGCTGGGTGCCTGAGGGATGGTTGTTCCAGTCAACCCACAGATCGCTCTTGCATTTGACTCTTCTTTGTGGTAGTTACTCGTTTCCTTTCTGATACCCTCTCCATTCCCGCCGCGCAGCCACTGCGCAGCAGTGGCTTGGGGCATGCTTCGGACTAGTCGCCGCGAGCAGGCACAACGAGTGTTGCGCAGTTTAGCCTCCTGCTTCCCTTTCCGCTGCGCCCACTCTTCCCCCTCGTTGTCCTCCTAGAGGCTGTGCGTATAACCCTGCGCTCGCTTCACCATCTCCGTGTCGCTGCGCACTGCTAGAGTGCATGCAGCACCAACGCAGGGTGCGCCAGTCTTGCAGATTGTCACGCTTGTTTGTCCTCGGGGGCGAGGAGAAACTGCGGCGCCATCTAGCCAGATGCTTGCACTTACGTCCTCTTGCTCATCGATCCGATTCGATATCCATTCCGGGCCGCTCGATCCGATTCGAGTTCGGTGTTCCGACGATCCGATGCAGCCCGATGCTCGCAAGGCGCTGCTGTTGTGCATCACGCCACTGCCGATTCGATTCGACTCCGACTCCGTGCGGAATCCGCCCGGTCCGACGCACATTTCGCTTCGATCCGATTTCTCGACTTGATGCCGAGTGATTGTGAGCCTCTCCCGTCCGGCTGCGCGTCAGAGTGGCCCTTCGCTGGAGTGGCCTAGGTTTGTCGGGGTTCGAGGCTCGAGGTTCTCCTCGGCTCTCGGCGCTTCGGGGTGCCCTCCAGCAGCCGCGCCTCGCCGAGAGCGCCCCGCGGGATGCGCCCGAACCGCCCCGAACGGCCGCTGGAGGCCCGAGCCATGACCCGAATTCGGAAGCCAGGCCGCCGCCGCCGCCGTCGTCGCGGGAGACCCGGGGCGGCGGGCTTGTCCTCGGCTTCGTGCGCAGACAGGCCCGCGCCCGAGCGGCGGCTGCATGCCGCCGCCTCTCGCCGTCCAGCCCCGAAGGGGTGCCTCTGGGCACCCGAGCGCGAAGGGCCCACTGGCTTGCTCAGTCACATGCGATACCCTGGACTCCGCCCCCGCCAGGATCCACGAGTCGCTATGCTGGGAGCTTCGGCCCGGTCGGGCCCGATCTCCCCTCCGGGCAGGAGTGTGGGGAGCGCCCGTGCGCGAACGACGCGGAGGAGGCCTCGGACGACCGTGGCAGTGCCCCCGACATGGAGGCAGAGCCGGGTCAGACCTGCCCCGAACCTGGCATCGGGCCGCTGTCCTGCCTGCCTGTCCTCGGAGGTCCCGCCTGCCCGTCCCCGGGGCCCAGCTCCTCACCCTGGGCGGCCCCGCGGCCCCCTCGCCGCCGCCCTCTCCAGCAGGCTCTCGGGGGAGGTCCAGTCTGGCGGCCTCCGGGCAGGCTCGCGGGGAAGGCCCGGGCCGCGGGCCCCTGCGCCCCGCGGCGCCGGTGCGCCCGGCCATGGCCGCGGCCGTGCGCCTGGCCCCCGGCCAGCGGTCGCGGGGGCGGCCCCGCGGCGCGCGCGCCGCAGGGGCGGCGGCCTCGCCGCGCGGCGGGAGGCCGCTGTGGCGGATCGTCGTCGCCGTCGTCGTTGTCGCCGCCGCCGTCGTCGTCGTCGTCGTCGTCGTCGTCGTCGTCGTCGTCGTCGTCGTCGTCGTCGTCGTCGTCGTCGTCGTCACTTGGGCGCGTGCTGCCGCGGGGTCGGTGGCGGCAGCAGGGGCTGGCGGCCCAGGGGGGTGGGTCTCGACGCGTATCCAGGGGCTCTCCGACCGCCCTCTGGGCCTCCCGGACGGGGTCCGAGTGGATGGGGTCGGAGGATCGCGCCGCACCGCCGATGCATCGGCGATGCGGCTCGATGTGGAGCCCGGGTCTCCCCACGCCGACGCCGCCGATGCGTCGCCGACACATCGCCGATGCATCGCCGAGGCATCGGCGATGCGGCGCGACCCTTCGACCCCATCCAGGGGGGTGGGTCGATGCGCGTGTAGGGGGCTCTGGCCGCCCATGTCCTCGACGAGGCCTCCCAGCTCTGGGCTGTCCACCCCTCTTCCCTCCGCCGGGCTCCTGGGGGGGAGTGCGGAGCGGGGGGGAGGGGGGGGGAGCCTTCCCTTCCAGTCCGGGCGGCGCGAACACGCATCACGACGGCTCTTCTTTCATTCCTCTTTTTCGGCCTCGTGGGGGCCACTTCCCGGCCCCTTTGGACCGCCAGCCAAACAGCTCAGGATGAGAAGCGGGCTCCAAGGAAGGGGCCTTGGATCCCCGGGGGCCGACGCCACGAGCAGAGATGCTGCGTCGGAGGAGAGGGGAAGACGAACGGGAGGGCGGGGAGGGGCGGGCGGAGGAGGGGGAGGACGATGATGAGGGGGAGGAGGTGCACGCGGAAGTAGAGTCCCTCCCGAAGTGCACGGGCCGCAGCGAGCGCGGCAGCCCGTGCCGCAGGACGCTTGCGCCGCCACCTCCTTGCCCCTTGCCATCTTCCTTCTCTGCACCCGTATCTGTTACCTTCCCGGTTCCATTCCCGCTGCCCCCCCACTCCGTACATTTCCCTATTCTTGCGTCCCCCTCGTGTCGCCGCTGCGCACTCTGCGCGCGCAGCCTGCGCAGCAACGGCACGCACCACACACCGACTGCCACATGCCAGCCACCGCGATGGCGACCCGGGCCTCGGCGCCGACCTGCAGCTGCGGAGCTCGCTGCATGACGGACCCGATGCTGGGGAGCACGGGGGTCGCAGACCTGAGCTTGACCCACTCGCGAAGTCCTCTCCCGCTCCTCCCGCCCCTCCCCCGCCCTCGTCTCAGTATCATTCAACCGACCCCTGTCCCCGTCTCCATCCCCATCCAGACCCCCACCGTCTCACCTCCCCAGTTGGGGATGTACCTCTCGAAGCCCGAAGGAAACGGCTCATCGAAGACGCCTACGGCGAATCGCCGCCGCCCCCTGCCTTGTTGGAAGCGCCTATGTGGCCGAACGTTGTGGCCAGAGGCCTGCCAAGCTGTCGGACCATGTGTTCCCCGAATCGGTTTGGAAAGCCTTCGGGGAACACGGTGGGGGAGGAGGAAGGAGAGGAGAGGGAGGAAGAAGGGAGAAGGGAGGATGAGGCCTCTTGGGAGCCTCTTGGGCTACTCCAGGGTTTTATTGGGCCATCTTTGCGGTCTTGGAGGCATCTTGGGACTGTCTTGGAAGCCATTTTGGGGCTGTATTGGGGCTTCTTGGGGCCATCTTGATCATCTTGGACGCATCTTGGAGGCCACCTTCGGCCACGTTGGCCGTCTTGGAGGCGTCTTGGGACCGTCCTGGAGGCCATCTTGTCAGTCTTGGAGGGATCGTTCCTGGACTTAGAGGTCCTGTATGGTCTCTCCGTCGCTGTCGAGAAGAAGCGAATGCCAAAATCCTTCAAAACCCGGAGGAAAGCAATGATTTTGGTCTCTTCGGGCCCTCCTGGAGGACCTCTTGGAGGCCTCTTGGGCCGTCTTGGGCGCCTCTTGGGGGCCTCTTGGGCCGTCTTAGGCCGTCTTGGATGCATCTTGGGCCGTCTTGGAGGCATCTTGGGGCCATCTCAGCCGTCTTGGAGGCCACCTTGGCCGTCTTGAAGGCCTCTTGGGGGCCTCTTGGGGCCGTCTTGGGGGCCTCTTGGGCCGTCATGGGGCCATCTTGAAGCCTCGTGGGCGATCTTGGGGCGATCTTGGGGGCCTCTTGGGCCGTCTTGAGCCGTCGGAATGCCGAGAAGAAACACATGCCAAAATCCTTCAAATACCAATGGAAAATCACTTATCCGTAAGGGCTTCGCCCCCTGCCGCCGGCCCCCTCTCTCGGAGAATGGGCCATGGAAGAGCGAAGTCATGAGGCTTTGGCTTTGCCGTGAAGCAGTGTCGGGACCTATTTGTTTTTCGACCCTGACCCTGCCGATCTGCGTGAGGGGTGCCGCCGAATTTCAGACATGTGGCAAATCCTGTTTGTTTTTGGACCCTGACCCGACGGATCTGCGTGAGGGGTGCCACCGAATTTCAGAAATGTTTCAAATCCCATGTGTTTTTGGACCCTGACCCCGCCGATTTGCGTGAGGGGTGCCACCGAAGTTCAGAAGTGTGGCAAATCCTTGGAGCGCCTTGTCGGGCCGCTGCGGAAGCGCTCCCGCTCGCGCCGGCTCGCACGGAATGCTTGTCGGGCCGCTCCGGAAGCGCACCCGCTCGTGCAGGCCCCCACGGAATGCTCGTCGGGCCGCTCCAGGGGCGCTCCGGCTCGCAGGGCGAGCGCTTGGAAGCGCTTGGGCGCACCTGGGACCGCCTGGGCTTGGATTTCGGGCCTGCCGACGCCGCGCTCGATCCTGGCAAATCTGGCAGATTCTGGCCGACCCGGCAAAATGTCAGTGGCTCCACAAAAACGGCTCCCAAAACACATTTTCTTTATGATTTGATATGTTTTTGGGCTCCGGTACGTCCAGGCCCAGGCCCACTTTCGAGCGGCTCGCTCGTGCCAGCTCGCACGGAGTGCTCGTCGGGCCGCTCCGGGGGCGCTCCGGCTCGCACGGAGCGTTCGGGCGCGCCTGGGAGCGCCTGGGCTTGGATTTCGGGCCTGCCGACGCCGCGCTCGAGTCTGGCAAATCTGGCAGATTCTGGCCGACCCGGCAAAATGTCAGTGGCTCCTCAAACACGGCACCCAATACACTATTTCTTGATTATTTGAATTGGTTTTGGGCTCTGGTACGTCCCGGCCCAATTTCGGGCGGCCCGCTCGTGCCAGCTCGCACGGGGTGCTCGTCGGGCCGCTCCGGGGGCGCTTTGGCTCGCACGGAGCGCTTGGGCGCGCCTTCAATCGCGGGTTCATCTGCTTGATCCGATTGAGTTTTATCGTTGTCATTATCGTTATCGTTGTCATTGCGAACATCATCATCGTCGCCCTCGTTATTATTACATTCATTTTGCAGTGCTTCTTGCTCTGTTTCCTCTGTTTTTAACCTGGGAGCGCGCGGGGGCGCCTTGGCTTGGATTTCGGTCCTGCCGACGCCGCGCTCGATTTGGGCAAATCTGGCAGATTCTGGCCGACCTGGCAAAATGTCAGTGGCTCCACAAAAACGGCTCCCAATATAATTTTCCTTATTCTCTAATTTGATGTTGGGCTCCAGTATGTCCCGGCCCAAGGGCGGCCCGCTCGTGCCAGCTCGCACGGAGTGCTCGTCGGGCCGTTCCGAAGGCGCTCCGGCTCGCACGGAGCGCTCGGGCGCGCCTGGCAGCGCCCAGGGGCGCCTGGGCTTGGATTTCGGGCCTGCCGACGCCGCGCTCGATTCGGGCAAATCTGGCAGATTCTTGCCGACCCGGCAACATGTCAGTGGCTCCTCAACAACGGCTCCCAATGCACATGTTCTTTATTATTTAATCTGGTTTTGGGCTCTGGTACGTTCCCGGCGCAATTTCGGGCGGCCCGCTCGTGCCAGCTCGCACGGGGTGCTCGTCGGGCCGCTCCGGGAGCGCTCCGGCTCGATTCGGGCGACGGATCCGCGTGGGGGGTGCCAC